GGGGACTAGAGACAAAAAATTATCAAATAATGGCATCAAATATGATCTGATAATTATCAAAATGCGCAAATTATGCTAGCATTGCTACTTGGCAGAAATTATGCCAGTTGGCTCGAATTATGCCAAAAATTATGCTAGCATAATCTATAAATGCCTACCTGAGACTCTAGGAATCAACAAGGAAAACAACAAGGCAATAAGGTAAGTCTATTTTATTTCAAAACAAGACATTCTTTTTACTCTTTCAAGGCAAACCGATAACATCACATACAAACCTTTATAAATATAAAACGTTGCGCAACACAGTAAGAGTCACGTCCGCTTTTCTAGCAGTGAGATTGGGCTTCCTGTGGTCAGGCAGAGTAATTAAAATAATTGACAGAAAGTGGAAGACATGACAACATTTCCCTTGGAGCAAACATACGATGAGAAACATTGCCTCTTTCAAGGAACAACTTCGTTAGATCTTATACTGTAAACTATAGACAAAACAAGCTGGTTCATCACAAGCTGGTTCATAGCGAGCAGCGAACTGCCCTACGAATCTAGCCATCGGTCAAGACGAGTGGGTGAACGGTCTGCTAGAAGTCTGGCACAAGAAATGCAAGAACCCCCATGAAATCCTCACAGATCTCTCGCACGCCTGAGTTGCTTGCCGGTTCTCTCGAAACCCGCAAGCTTCGCCACTTTACAGGCGGAGCGGCAGACGGAGAGGCTGCTCATGGGCTGTGTTACATTCGTTCATGATTCTGCCACGTGCAATGAGTGGTATACTGATAAAGTATACAGTCTTTTAAAAGGCCTCAGGCCTTCCAAAAAGGCAGAGCATACATGGAAAATTTTAAACTCCACTCTCGCCAAAATTCGAAGCGATCTGACTAAGTTTCCCAAAAAAAATAAATAATAAAAAAGCGCAGATAAGGGCCATTTGAACAGCCTCGCTCGCAAATATATTTTCCCCTCCACTTCATGTTGCGTTTTTAGCAAGTCGAAGCACCGTTTTCTATTTTGAAATTATTCAACATCTTGAATTTTGGGAACCTGCAGTATCCCATTACAGAAGCTCCTAGGATTAGTCATTATTTATCACCAGGGCAGAGGGATCGAGCGATTTTGGAGGGGGGTCACATGGTTTTCAGGGGAAAAAATAGCCTGAGTGTCAGACCTTCCTAAGGGGCTCCCCTTCTCGCTTCTCTCTTACCCCTTTCCCCCAGAAACGCTTCCAGAAACGCCTGATGCTCAGGCTAGGGAAAAAAAGGAGGGATCAATCATTTCTTGCTTAACATAAATGGAGAACTGTAAAGTGAGGGGAGGCGTTACAATAATACAAAGCCTTGAAGGAGGATCAGGTAAATTTTACTGTGTCACCTGACCAAAAATCATATCTTCCGACCCCTCCCCCCTACTCCATGCGATAAAAATGTTGTCCGTCCTTTGGAAAAATAGCTCTCTGCGGTTTTTTTTAACTTGTGTTCATGATATTGACGTCATCTAATGTAGAAAAGAGGTTTTATCATTGTTGTATCATAATTTATGTTTTGTTTTTGTTTCCTTACTTGTTTTTACCTTTTGAGAGAAGAACCCTACCCTACCCCAACAGGAAAACAAAACGAAACCACGTGAAAGTCTGCGAGGGACTGGAAGCTGCGATGATAACAAAATGGAAGATGGCGGAGGGAGAGAGGCAAAACTTATTTTCCGATCGTGGACATCGCAACTATAAATCAAGTCCACTGCTCAATTCACTCAAGAAAAATGAAGCCTCAGAGACAAGTTCTTTGTCAGAGAGCATTGAGGCACCGAAATCCTATGGCGCAACCCGGAATCCACTTCAAACGCAATGCGACGTGAGGTTGATAGGCCATGTTGTGGAACCTACCGACACATTGCAAGGACTCGCCATAAAATATGCCGTGACGGTGAGAATCAAGCTTAGTATGCGTTTTTAAAGTAGAGGCATGTTATAGAAAGGAAAGATCGACAACAACTGAAAGCAATACAGTAATGTGGCCTAAAGTCGATTTAATACTGACGAACAATAGTCGCCATGCCGATAATTTATTTGCAGACCTCCTGTGTTAGATAATACTCCTCCCATGTCGGTTCCCGAATTATTACGTTGTTTGTAGCTATTCTCTTTCGTTACGATTTTAGGGCTTTATCTAAGTATAAATATTGAAGCAAACTTCCCAGACCTTTGTCATGGTCTGCTGGAATATTTTTCTTTGAATTTGGTTAGCGGTCACCGTACTAAAGCGGAAGCTGACATTTACGTAATACACAACGTCTGTTTAAATCAAGGTGGTGACTCGAAATTCAAGCTATATGTAATGTTTCATGTTGCTTACTTTTTCCGACTAGACAGTTCACGTGTTTTTTAATCATAGAAATTTTTCCTACCACTCATCTGGAGTGATCTTTTATTTTCTTTACATTTTTTGCTTTCGAACAATGACTACGTATTTGCTTTGTGTTTATTTCACAACTCTTCCGATTCCCATTAGCTGTAATTTAAAAGCTATGATACAGTAGTGTGCAGAGTGGCCTCTACAGCCACTTCAGGAAGTGTTCCAGTAATTCAACTACAGATCCCAATGCTTAGTACAACATCCGGAAAGAGTACCATATAACCCCATACATTAATTATGCATTCCACTTCTTTGTCTTTCACGACAAAACTTTAAAAAGAAAGTCAACTAGTCTGAATGCATAATTAATGTCTGGGGTTATATGGTGGTACTCTTGCCCAACATCCTCTCTTGAGATGAATGGATTCTGACCATTTCAAGCTTATCTTGCTCAGTATCTCTAGAGGCTCATTTTCTCATTTTTAAATGTAACAGTAAATGTGGTTTTCTTTAATTTTTTGGGAATTGAGATGTAAAACTTGAGCCTATGAACTATGTGTCCATGCCTTGGCATAAGAACAAAAAAAATTCAATTATGCTTTCCATACAAGACTGTTGTTAAACCAAATCCAAACTAATCACAGTGGAAAACCTCTCCATTTACTTATCAGACTTAATAGCTACAGTTAAAACTTTTTTTTGTCAATGAGTTAAGAAGTTAATATCTACATTATATCTTTTAGATTGAGCAGTTGAGAAGAGCAAACAAAATTTGGGCCAATGATAATATACACTTGTTTAAAATCCTAAAAATTCCAGTTAAGAAGGACTCAAAACACTATGTGGAAGACTTGGAATTTTCTGAAGATGAATCAGGGACAGATGATAGTGGAATAAATGAAGACAAAATCACAATTAGTTTTGATGCAAGGGGTGATATAGCAAAGAAAAGTGATTCTTTGTGCGATGCATCCCTCGATGGATCTAAAGAAATAGAAGGGAAGAGTCAACAACAAAACACGGCTTCCAGTTTTTTGGAGCAACTTGATGCAAGGATAAAAAGCTCTAAAAAGGAATCTGAGAAACTTAGGTAAGTTCTGATGATGATGAGAGAAGGAAACTGAAATAATGTGACTACAACTCAACAAGAGCAATGATGGTTATATGCTATGTACTCTTGCAACTAGTATTAGGAAAGTTAGGAAATGGGTTGTTTTTGATCAACAAAGTCCAGTGTATAATAATACATATGAACCTCAAATGGTGGCATGGCTTGCAGTACTGATCTAGTGACTCATTTCTTTTGATGTAATGTCTGCAATTTATTAAAAAATCTCTCCATGGAATTCAGATCAGAGTGAGTGAACCCCCAAGACCTCTCTTACCCAGTGCATGAGATTGAGGCATGCATGTCAGTCAGTTCAAGTTGGGACTGCAAGGCTAAAACAGTCTGGCTTCAGATTGATACCCTCATATTATCTGAAAACCTGTAGGACTGAAAAACAACATGATTAGTATCCATACTCCAACATCAAAAGCAATAAAATGCTAAAAGATCTGAATGAAATCACAGACTAACTGGTCACCCAAACTACACAGAAATGTATATTGATTGAAAGTACACTTTATACCCAAAGGGACACATTGACTAACTTGATTTAATGTGTATATATCATTGAACAAAATGGTATGATTTTTTTTTTATTGTTTCATTTTGATCATTCAATACAAGCCATTAAGTCAATGAAACACTTTTTGTGCACAGAACTGTTTCAGGACCTAAAGTTATTGCAGATTTAGATAGAGCACACTCTAGAAGTCTCACATCTGATGATGATTTGTTTCGACCACTTGAAGCTGGAATTTCAAGGCGACAAAGAGGACAAGTTCTTGCATCAAAGAGGCATGTAAGAAAGGAGAAAACTGCAGTTCAGGATACAGATGATCAGTTCTTCGAGCTTTGATATAAATTATGATCTACAACAGACATTATTTTAATTTTAAAGGTTGTAAATCATCGAAATCATGACTCCAATTTTATCAATGAGACACAACCATTTACAACAAAGCACATGACTGTAAATTCAAATGTTTTTATTCATATCAATAGTAGGGGAAAAAAAAAGGAATAAGCTGCAGATTCTTCAAGGGCTTGTTGTAAATTTGTCCATTCACAGCATACATAACTATCCAGATAGCAATCATAATCCTTTGGTTTTGTTAAATGGCCTTAGTTTCTTAGAAGCACAAATTGTTTTTCAACTGGGAAAAATGCTCTGAAACTTTGGCCCAAAGGAGAGGAGGTAACTTGATTAAGAAAGCCCATTCTTTTAGTCACTAGAAATCCATTTTCCTATCAATTTTGCCTTCAATTATCCCTTCACCCTACCCATCTGTTGTTCATACATTTGAAGGCAGTTGATCTCTACCAGAAATCAAGAACAATCTGTCAGCTCAAATATACCTTAAACTCTTAGAGGTGATTAACAGATAACTTCTCCGTAAAATACTCATACATTATCCAGCAAACAGGTAATGAGAATGCTCAAACTTATTAAGTCGAAGTTGTTTTCTTGATCCAATGCCAAATTAGTAAGGTTCCAGTCGAGATGGACCATTTTAAAAATCACTCAAATTCAGTTTGTCTGCCCAGGCAGTAATTCAATATTCAATGGCAGTAAGAATTTACTCTAGCTGTAGAGCTAACTACCATGGAACCCTTGAGTTACATTAATGTTATCTAGAAAGGCCACTTGTTAGAAGAAAGTTTGTCATTGCAGAGTGAATATTCCATCTCTTTATCACGATTAATAGGTCTTGACTCTGTTTTACATGAAAAATGAAACCGAACTCCTAGCTGTAGAACCATGTATAAAATGGAAAAGAAAATATCAGATATTAGTTCTGAACAAAACTACAATGAATTTGAATGTAGAGTAATTATCAGGAGCGGTTGTTACTCCCTGCAGAAGCATAATTTTTAATATATTTTTTCATCATTAAATCTATGAATTTCTCTTAGGAAATAGTAATTAATTAAAGTATTTTTATAATGAAACAAATTCACAATGTAAATTTGGTCCAGGGAGATGATGTGACATATTTAAAAAGAAAATTATAAAAAAGAAAAAAAACCAACGTGAAATACAAACTGAATGAGATGTGACAAGCATCATACAAAACATGCAATGCTTTTGATACTCTCAAGACACAGCATCTACTTAATTGTCTGTAAGTTTCTATTTTCCTCTCTGCTGAATTTGTCAATGATTATGTAACCTTTTTTTGCCATTTTATTTCAGTTTATTACTTTCATGATTGTTTAAATTATTAATAATCCATTATTGCCCTATAATTAATAATGACAATACACCAAATGCAAATATGGTGTCCAACTTAAGTTGCCATTTTTCTGGACTCACTAGCCTCATCTTTGCGTGGAAACACAAAAGGATTATTACAGGTGTGAGAGTCTAGTGAATCCAGAACAATGGCAACTCAAATTGGATGCCATATTTGCATTTGGTGTATACTGTGTTTGATATCAACATTCTCACATATGTTGTTACCTTAAATTTCAAAGCTGGAAATATGATGTAATCTTTCAGCTCTATGCAGTGGTATTGTATAGTTCTTTGTATTTCTTGTTTGGTAATGGTATGCAGACACCTCATTGCAGGTATGTTTCATTTTTGGTAACTTTTGGAGTGTATTCAAACAAATTTCACTTCATCTTTCATCTCCCATCTAGATAGTTTACATATTGGAGAGCAAGTTCTGTTTGAAAATGGTTGTTATGTCAACAGAAAATAGGTGATATGTTAACAAGAAATTCAGATATGTCAACAAGGAAATTAGGAACATTGTTTAGTTTGAGAAATATAGACAGTAAATTGCTAGTTAACCCTTCCACTCCGAACAGAAACTAAGACATGATATAGTATCGATAGAATCTCAAGCAAAGTGGTGATGCAGCATCAAATTCTCAGAACAAACTTTATGAGAAGCATATGGCAGACAGGAAGGAGAATTTCCTTCAAGTTTTTGCGAGTAAAAATGTTTGTGGGAAGAACTAAATTGTTGATTTATGTCGTGGAGTACGTGGTAACTCGTACCAGGTTTTGATGGGCAGATGCATTAACTCTCAGAAGTGATCAAGATTCGACTTCTCCCTACTATGTCCATAATCGGACTACTCAGGTAAAAAAGGTTATCTTGAATTCTCTTAACTAGCTTACAAGGAAGTGTCTAGCAGCTAAAGGGGAGAAAGAACAATCAGATGTCAGGAGTTCAAAAGCTAACTGTATCATCTAAGGGTTTTTTGTGATGTTCACTTGTAACGTTATTAGGTACCACACTATCTGGGACACAGTAACACATTTTACAAGCTTTCCTCAGTTCTATATCTCAGTTAACTCTCATGCAGAGCTGCAACCGAAATTGAAAATAATTCTATATAAACATAATTATAGGTTTAGTATACACCTCCAATTTTTCATCGTCTGGGCTCAATCAACATGTTGCTACTTGAATGATTAGCAATTTTATAGGAAAATTCATGACCTGACGAGGCACGTCCGCGTTAAATTGCACGCTAAAACCGATACGCGATGAGTGCGATATCGGTTTCCAAGTGTAGTTTGCCGCGGAATTCACGAGTCAGGTAATGGACTTTCCTTGAATCGCATAATTGAATTAAAAAAGATAATAATTATAAAACAGCTATAATATTGTTTGTTTTAATTCTGTGCGCGAAACGCGCAGCGAAACAATATCATTCAGCCTCGTTTGAACTCTCAATTCCACGCTAAATCGCTTTGTTAGCGTTTAGCGTCTAAATAGGTCAACCAAATTTGTATTTGTTTATTCAAACCAGTTAGTAAGAGTTCCGAAAGGCTTGATAAGGTTTCCTCTGTGGACAAGAAAAAAAGGACTGAAATGGTAAATGACCTTGGCTATCGTTTTTAAGCCCAAGGTAATTTGAAAGAATTCGCCTGTTCCTGGAGTCCTTTTGGTAAAACCGAAGCACGATTCACGAGGTAGGGCAGTAGCGACGGAACGGAAAGTCGAGAGAGGCTTGGGTCGGGTCGTTCCTCCTCTGCCGTTACTAACACAGTTTACCATCGCGCTCCATTTTACTCTCTGAAAGCCTGGAAAGATTAGTAAGAATGAACGTGAAAATCACGATAGGAGTGCATCAAATAAGTGGGGAAAAGTTACTTCTGATTTGATTTAGAGAAGGAGAGGGAAAACTGCCTGCAATCCGTCTTGAGTTAAAGGCGAACTGCGGCGTCTGAATTGAATTCAGAGACAAGCGTGGTAAAGCAGGAAATAATACAAGACTTGGTTCAACTCAGTCCCGTCAAGGGCATTCAGTAGCGGCATTTAAAAAATGACGAGCTGCGCTAAAGGAAACAGAAGGCTTAGTTGTTCTTTCTCGGATATTTGTGAAATAAAGTTTTCTCCTAGTAGCCTCCTTGTGTTACAGGGAAATCGTGAGTGTCTTTATGGAGTAACTTGCCACTAGCTTATCAAATGGTTTATTAGCTATAATTGCGTTTTTTTGACAGAAGTATTCTCAAATGGTCAAAGATAATAATGTTTACTCGTCTCTGTGAGACATGTCTTGAGACGTCAGCTTTGAAACTCTTACGATGTCCAATTTACATCATAAACTCAGTTGATGAAACCAAAATTACTTTGTTATACTCCCTCACCGACGCTGCACCACAATCTCTTAAGAAATTTACCCCCTTTGCTAAATAAGAACTGTCAAGGGTTAAAAAAGCCACTCCGCACAAGTTGCAACAAAGGGAAAAAAGTCGGTTTTACAAACGCCTCTTATCATTCATGAAGATAAATTTCGTATCACATAGCTTGGAATTAACATCAGATTCTAAGAAGGAATATATCATATAGTTATAAATCTTTTGTTTATATGTGTTTGGTCATATTTTAGTCCTATCAGACACAATGTTCGTTTCCAAAGATATCGATATCTAACGATAAAACGGATCAAATTGAAAAAAAAAAAGAGACACATGGTGGCGCGCGGCTCGTAATTAATACCCACAAAAGCGAGCAGAAGAACCCTGAGTACGTCACGGAATCTGCATTACTTTGATACGGATTTGTGATAACCACGAACACGGATAGATATCCGAAAAAATGGTTCAAACAGACGACTCCATAAAGTGTTTGATTTGATACCAAGAAAAACTGTTTTAATCGAAACCGAACCGGCAATAATTAAGAGTTGGAAAAGATTATATTCACAAACCCGAGTCTTAAAAAAATAAAATCATGAAACCAAGGATGCTGGGATGTCCTTCTATAATAGTTAGTAACAGTATTCATGAATGTGCGTCAATGTTACCATATTAAAAAGTCGAAAGCGCACTACATGTACATTATTTTATCCATTATATCCTAGGAAGTCGCTGCATTTATGTGTTCCCATGATATTCCTTGAAAACAGCTGTTTCAGTTGTAAATTGCAGGCGATCGCTTTGTTGTTTTTTGATATTCAAAATTCCTTTTTTAGTTTATAGTTTAAGGGCATGATCCTATTTACTGAAAAATATGATTTAATCTCTGAATGACGCTTAGTTGTTTTAAATTAACAAATGGTAAACACCACAGCGTACACTATTGAGTTATGGATGCACGCGGGAGGTTGCTAACCACGAAAGAAGCGTAAGAGTCGCGCGAGGCGATAGCCGAGAGCGACTCTAGCTTCTTGAGACGCTAAATTGACCAATCAGAGCGCGCGCTTTACTTTGGTTATGTTAATCCTCTTGGGAGCTAAACACAAACGAAACTTTCAGATCAATACTTTATGACTAAATTACCATACATCAAAAGGACTCATGCCAGGTGCTGTTGTGTTAGGAGTATATTATCTAAGCCCCCCGGTATACATTTTAGTTGTTTCTTCAGTCGATCAACCACCACACGCATTTATTCAAACTCCGATCATTGACTGATTTTTGAATCAGTTTCACGCGAGCGATTTTGACAAAAAGTTTACATATCTAATATTGCGGTCATGGGCAAAACAAGCTATTTAATGATGGCTGTCTTTGTTGGATCTTTGGCCGCAATTATGTTTATTCAGAAGGAAAGAATAGATTTTGACTGTCTATGGAGTGTTTTACTTCAAAAAGGCGCCCAAGCTCGTAGCGAAAAAACTGACCAACTACAGAAAACTGTTCTCCCAGAAAACGCTTGTAAAGGCGAGATAAAGTGCGATTCAAGCTTGTCAGATGTACCATGCACTGCTGATGATTCATCAAGAGATGCTAAGGAAGTGAGATCAAAGCAAAATAACGGAGAAAGCGAATGCTTCGCGCGAGACGGTGCCACAACATCAACAAAAGAACAACAAACAGAAAATGGATATAAATATTGCAAAGGGGAAAAAGCGAACGAAGAACAAAACAACGATATTTTGACAGGTCATATGAAGAAATTAGGAGAACATGGCGCCATTATAATGGAAGGAGAAATTGAGGAGCTAAATTTTGTGCCAAACGGTAAAGATTTTTACGAACATTTTTTACGAAAACGGAGACCTCTTATTATGCGTGGAGCAATAAAGAACTGGCCCGCCGTACAGCACTGGGCGAACGAAAGTTACCTTCGCGAAAAATATGGCGAAGTCGTGTTTGACGTTCAACTTACAAAAAAATACGAGGGAGAATTTCCGGCGAAGAAGACAATGAACCTTGATGAGTTCCTTACGATTTACAAAAGCAAACAAGTTTATTTAGACTGTCCTTTTCCCCACAGTGATATGATTAAAGACATTTTTGTTCCGTATTGCTTGCAATGCGAAGAAGTCATGCCAACTATTGCTAGCACTCATTTACTTTTTAGCAGTGGAAATACAAGTTCCAGTTGCCATATGGATGGGTATGAAAACCTTTTAAGTCTCATAGCCGGAAAAAAGGAAGTCTTGGTGGCTAGTCCGAAGTATGTAGAATATTTCTATCCTCGAAACCACACTACGGTGAACATTGAATCACCCATCGATCCCGAGGCAGTGAATTTAGAGAAGTTTCCCAAACTGGCCCAAGTACCTTTTCACAAGGTAAGCTGTTTGTTTGTTTCTTCACTCATTTTAATTTTCATGAAGATTGACGTTAATAACAACTTTGCTCGACAGTTTCTGTTGGTAAAAAATTTTACACAAAATATTTCCTCAACCAAAAACAATTTCCATCTCCATTTACTTTTTTTATTGAATTTTTTCATTTTGTTCATTCGTGTGTTTCTTTCTTTTGTGCATATTTTGGCATTCATCATGGTTTTATGTAAATTGAATATCTTCAGACGGAATTTTCGGTGTCAAGTTGTCTTTTAAATGTCATTGGAGATGTTAAGTCCAATTGAATGGAGAACAGATGCTTTGAAGGCCTCATCAGTGAAAAGCTAATAACATCCCGGAGACAGAAGCGACATATTTAGCGCGGCAACGGAAAAAAATTAAAAAACACCTAACATGCATTCCCTCTGGTTCTAATAGGGATACTTTGCGGCTTTGCGCGCTGAGAACAAAAGGAACTGGTGATCGTAGCTTAGATGTTGATGAGATTCAAAACTATGTGTTGGACACAAAGAAAATCAGCCGGTCTTCTTCAAACAGGGCGTGTTAAGAGCGCGAATAATTCTCAAACATTGTATTTCTGCTCAGAGCCACTGATTCGATGGAACGCAAATGATACGGCCAAAGTAAAATTTCTTGAGTTTCCTTCATTTAACAGTTTTCTTTGTTGGCCATCTTTTCTTCCCATCACTTCAATTTCTCTCCCTTTTTCCTCCTTTCTGTTTAATTGCTTTTGTTAGCCGAATAGGTAGCTGTTAATAGGCCTATAGGGTTCTGGTCTGAAACAGACTTTCAGAAGTAATCCAACCTCGGTCCCAGCCCTAACTAAGGGAAAAGGCCCTGGGAACGAGGTTGGAAGTAATCCAGTGTCTTCGGCGGAAAATAAAATTTCCGGGCCTTGATCTGCTCGCAACAGCCTATCACAAATTATGCGAAAGACCAAAATTGATGCAAAAATGTCGCGCAATCCAAAGGAAGATTTTTTACAATTTCTGACTTTCACCGCGCCTGCGCCGCACAACAACATCGTTCCCAGGGTTGCTCGGTCTAGGAAACGTCTCTTTCTATGTCCCCCATGTTGGAAATCATTAATGTAGCCTCCCCCAGGGAGGAATGGAGGGGGGAAATAATTCTCTTCTTCCTCTCTTCTTCTTTCCATCGTTTTTCTTCACAAAAAGCGTCATAACTTTCAAAATCAGTCATTATTACAGTTATGATATGAATATAATTCAGAAAGATAATTAATGAATCGAAAAGTGAAAAAAACAAACAAACAAACACACACACAAAATTGTCTCTACCCCGTACTCCCAAGAAAATTAAGGCTTACTCTTGTGTACACCCTGGGGAGGTTTGTAACGCCTGCAATATTGTGTAGCAGATGTATATCGTGTTGCTACCCTCTTTGTGATCAAGAAAAGATTATACGCAAGCAGTGGGGTTTCCTCCAATGGGCTCGCTAGGCCTCAGTTAAACGACGATGAGGAAGACAAAAGACTCGCGTGCTAATTTTCAAAGCGATCTTTTTCAAGAAAAAACGTGACTGGGGTACTTTTTGTCCCGTGAATGTTGCATTGAAACAAATCAACGTCGTTGGAGCCAGCTACTTCTTTAGACAGCAAAGTTTTTGTCGTAGTCGCGCTCGATTCAGCTTCTTCTTTTACGAATTGTTTATTGAAGTTGATTACGTAGTCTCAATTCAGAATGACCAAGATCTCGTGCAGTTTTCTTCGCGTGGTAACACAATTTACCATAGGTTTTCTCCTCCTACAACTACACTATGTGATTGCTGATAAAGATGAATCTTTAAAACATCAGTTAAAAAGTGGTGAAAATGATAGAAGCCACGGAAAAACAGGATACAAGAGAGATGAGATTGGCGAAACGATAGACGACACTGATACGAAAGAATATTCATTTGCAGCTGTTAGCGATGTGAACAAACAGTGTAAAAGTAAGGAACTAAAACATTCAGTCACTAAAAAAGAAACTGAGAAGCTTTTAGGTCATTTGAAAAAACTGGGAGACCATGGATCTCAAATTGTTACTGGTGAAGTAGAAGACATTGATTACATTCCAAATGGGAAGGATTTTTATAGACATTTTGTGCGGAAACGAAGGCCACTTGTAATGCGAGGTGCTGCCTCAGACTGGTCTGCTGTGAAATACTGGACAAATGAAACATATATGAGACAAAAATATGGCCATGTTGTATTTGATGTGGAGTTCACAAAACACTATGAGAGAATACATCCAATCAAGAAAACCATGAACTTGAGTGAATATCTGGATATTTACAAAAATAAACAAGTTTATTTGGACTGTCCCTTCCCACAATCTGACATGACAGCAGATATCATGGTTCCATACTGTCTACAGTGTGAAGAAGTGATGTCCACTATCACAAGCATTCATTTGTTGTATAGCAGTGGTAACACAAGTTCCAGTCTCCATCAAGATGGATACGAGAATCTTTTAACTCTAATTTCTGGAGTAAAGGAAGTTCATATAGCAAACAGCAGTTATGGAGAATACTTGTATGCCAATAATTATACCACGGTGCCTGGTTTATCACCAGTGAACCCTGAGTCAGTAGATCTTAAAATGTTTCCCCTAGTATCAGAAGTAGTTTTTCATAAGGTGAGGAATGATAATCTCTATTAGATATTTTACAAGTAAAAGCTGGCATTTCTTGATCTAACTACAATTGTGACCTCATTATAAAAGATTTCAAGTGCCTCAATATGTTTTCCCAACAACATAAGCTCATAATAAAAATTTTGCTTTAATATTTAAAAAAAGGCTCAGTGATGTTTGAGTGTCAGGTGAAATCAAAGAGAGTCGCATGATTGTGCTATTTATTTTCTTAATTTGGTATCTTGGTACTCCCTTTGAACCTTTAAACATGTTTGACATGTAACCTCTTCCTGTAATACCGATACATTATCCAGTAAACAGGTAAATTCTTGATCTAGCGGTAATTCTCATAACTAATGTACAAGAATATGTGTAGTGGCTCGAGGAGAGTTAACAATCAGATCTTGACAGTTAAAAGTTTATTGGCAAGGATATCATAAGCTGTTGTGTTGTGTATTGTTGCCCATCTGTTTTGCTACAATCAGTCTGACCAGACATATGAAGTACTGTATCCACACTGAATCACTTCAATGGCTTTTTGATACATAGTGTTTTGATTGGCAACAATACCTTTTTTGCTATTTAATTTTTTTATTTGATGCACATGAAGCAAGGCTTTGGATACAAATAGTAGAATAAAATTTATCAAATTTTGAATGATTGTTCATATTTCTGTTTAGATGGCTTCAATTTTTTTTTTTTTTTTTATTTCTTTGGTTTTTTTTTTAAGCTAATCAATAAAAACTCTAAAAAGCTTTCTGTCAATAATTTGTCGCATAACTTATTGATTAAAAGTTTTTTATGATTCTAGGTTGTTCTAAATGCTGGTGACATCCTGTACATTCCACAACATTGGTGGCATCATGTAAGATCATTTGAGTGTCCAAACATTGCCATTTCTTTGTGGTTTCATCCATTTGCAGAAAAGGAAGGAGAAGAAGTTTCCCTCAATGAGGAAGAGGATGTAAGATATCACATCAATTCTTATATTTAGTTTACTCTTTCTTTTAAAAAATACTGTTAGGAATCCTTTCCATGTTTCTCGATGATTTTGCAGCAATATTACTGCATTTTATTTGGAGCGTGGCATAATTTTCTTCAATGCCAAATGTACAATTATATGATCATCAATTTGCATTTGTCTCAGGAATCTGCCATGTTCAGGCTTTTTTATATTTTTTGGCAACACACAGCAAGATCATTTTGAAACATCAAGTCAAATCCCTGACTTGTGAAAAGCATCTTATAAATCAACTTGAGACTTAAGTTAAAAATGTTTGATATGTAAACTGTATGTGGATGACTGTATCACTATGAATCCCACCCAACAACTTCACAGCAACCCCCCCCCCCCC